TCTGTCACACATACTATAGTGTACTACCAGAGCTTACAACTTACTGAGTTTGTGCAGGAGGGGGGATATTCTTGCTGGCTCTGCATCTGCCCTCAGTTGCAGTAATCTGGTTGTCTTGTTGGGATAAACCAACTGGTTTACCTTTTGTCCATTCCATATATTCCCTCAGAACCAGATGGTAGAACAGTGTCCTTCTGCTTATTGTTTAAACAGCGCATGGTCAGTCAGCCCTTCTAGCCTGTTGAGCTATTTCTTGACATGTGGGGCCTGATTCTGTGAGACAGTAAAGGACTTTGCTGTCTACTGTATTGAGGGTACTTGGTACATCCTGAGATGCTCTCCGCTGTGCAGTATTCGGCCCAGAAATGCTCCAGTGACTGTTGACGTCAATAGCAACATGCCCATTGTACACAGTGGAGTGGGGCTGGGTTACTGAAGTATTCAGGTTATAATTATTATTGGCTAAATAACCTTTTCCAAACCTCGGCCCCTTTAATTGCTGAAGGCTATAATATGCACAACATACCATGACCTGTTCCTGAATTTATACTGAATGGCTCTGCCCTGAAGCATTCAGAGGCAGCTCTTCGTATGTATCCAGACATGGGACTGTGTTTATGATACTAAATAGTTGCTTCCATTTTATACTCAGCTCATGAATAATTTGGGAAGACTGAGATTTTCTCCTACGTTGGGGGACTTAATTATTTGGCTTCCTTGTGTACCTTTGGCTGGGATGTGTAATTTATGGTTTCACACAGGTTTCGGATATGATAGCGTCTTTTGCCTCTTTCTTAGAACATTTATTCTCTCTCCCCGTTATTATTTATCTCTGCAATGTAAAGCTATATTATTTAATGCTATCAGCTATAAAGTGTTTGGGGATGCCATTTGTACGAAAGATGCCATGCAAAATTAAATTGTATTGCATTACGACTAATTTCTTAGCACATACAGTGCATACCATTTCCACAATCATTAGCACAGTCCTCCAGCCAACAGCAATCTGTTGTTTATTTTTTCAGGATATCAGGCCCTACATTTTTTGAAACCTAGAAAAAGAAGTACTTTTTCTGCTGAAAGGATTGATCTTTACTGTCTTAACCAAGCTATAAGGAAGCAGATAAACCTTTTGCTCAAGTAGCAACAGTGACCTCTAGTGTGTCATTTTAATTTCTTCCATTACATCTGGATCCATTGTTTCTTTAACCTCTAGGGCATTATTTAAGAACAATTTTCTGGATATATTTGGGCTAATTTTCTTATTGACTCTATCAGAAAGTGATTCTTGAGTGATCTTCTTTTATCTTCATAATCTATGGTAAAGTAAGTTTGTCTCCATTAATGACTGTAATTATCATATATAAACTTGTCATTTAAATGAATAATGATTCCCCCCACCAAAATATGTAGCTTTATTTGATCTAGCTTTAATGGAAGAGGAATTGAAATCTGGCTAAATACTTCATTTAGCTTCCAGCAGTAAAAAACATGAGCTCAGACAAATGCTTGGGAGAATATCTGTCAGATATGACCATTGACTCTTCTCTTAAACATACTGCCCTATACCTTGCCCAGATTGTGTTTCAGGCTAGGAATGTTGCAGGAGCACTGCACACAACTGTTAAATCAGGGCTTCCATCATTAAGCTTGTGTTAGCACTTGCAATCTAAGCTGCTATTTTCTGGAGTTTAAAACTCATCTAGGGGATCCGTTATACATTACAACTTCTTCTATATGGTCCCAGCCTAGCAAGAGGTCATTTTAGAAGGGAGAAGGAGGTCCTGGGTTTGGGAGATGGAGGTTAACTTTTGTATGGGTATACTGTAAAAAAATGTAAAATCAAATAATTTTTAAACTTTTAGAAATGCAAATAAAAGATCTGTTCGTGTCAGCTGTTATTTCCACTGCACTTCTGTATGTTAAAACTACTTCTTTCTCTTTCCTCAGTTTCATCCCTTTCAGAATTAGGACACATTGTGTGATTTAGGCTCTGAAACTGAAACAAATAAAAAGTCAAATTATTTATTAAGTTGACTGTTACTAATACACACTCATTAAAAAACAAATGACAGTGTTCAGGAAGAAAATAAAGTAGACTAAATTTTAAAAAGAATAG